CACCAGCAAGTGCTTCAAGTCCGCCCTACTTTCAGTAAGCAAAGTTGTGCCAAACGCATATCGCAGTTTGTTAATAAACCTTCTTCCAATCCTGGTGCTGCATTCTTTCTCATAACCCAGCTTTTCTGATGATTTTCTCAGCTTATAGACTGAATAAGTACAGTGAGAGGATACAACCCTGACACACACCTCTCCTTTTAAGCCATGCAATATTCCCTGGTTTTATTCACAAAACTGCCTCTTGATCCAGGTACTAGTTCCACCCAAGGACAATGAAGTTTCCCAGAATCAGTAAGTCTTAAAAAGAGATGAAACCTGGGCTATCTAGTAGTTTGTCAACTGATTCCTTACAGAATGTGGATACACCACAGAGGGACACGATGATGAGCATTCAATAGCAATGGCAAAGGAAATCTGATAGAGCACACTTTATGAGTTAGTGGAGAATATCTAAGAAGCACTGAAAGAAAAAGCAAGATTTGCATCCATAGGGAGCAATTAAATACATGAATATAAATGAAGTCCCAGGCCTTGAAACCTAGCAGAACTGGGAACCAAAAGTAGGGCAAACAAAAACAAGGCAGCCATTGTGATGGTAATCAGCGACATTATAAATATTCTATTACAGCTATTTTTAAAACATTTGGAAAGGGGAAAAGGCTGTTCATTTAAAAATAGCAAAATAGGATTCTGTTAGCAAAAAGTAAGATTGTAAACAATGTCAAGTCCTAGGTTGATGTAATACCAAACGAGTCATGAGGATTGTGAAGAAGACAGAGTATGGACTTTAAAGAGAGCAATCTATCAGTCATGGTTTCCAGACTCCAATTGAGTCCCATGACTTTGGTATGCATTACATCTAGGTTTGTATCATCAACTAATGTTTGTCTTAGTATGTTACCATGTACCTTTTTCTACATCAAAATAATGAAAGAAACACTTCCAGATATACTAAAACATCTTTAATATAATACATCAATAATATTATTATTAATAAGGTCCATGGCAAAGTAGTGCCTGATTGCTATTATGAACTACTGTATATATCCTGAATTTTTAGTAGAATATGAATTACGGGGGTGGTTTATAACTGCAGGTTGTATGCTAAGTTGGATGAAGGCCATTAACCCCGGGAGTTATAATTGAATAAAAAAGAAAACCTAGTACATATCAAACAAAAGACAATTTTAAGAGAATGTTCAAGGTTATCTATGCTATATATATATATAACTCTTTGTATATATACA